CTCAGTTTAGAAAACATGAATTTTTGAAAAAAGCAGCGCAGTTAGGCAGAAACGCTCATTTTGAGACCAATATTTACTAAGTTGGCAAAAATCAGGATTTCTGGCTATTTCTATAAAACTTAATAACAGACGTGGAAAATTTCAAATCGCTTCTTGTGTTATTCTCGAAGATACAAATATTTAAACGAGAGCGTACTGTTGAATAAAAACTCCAATTTTAAGACCTGGAGAATTTCGAAATCGAATCTCTCTCGTGCAAATAGTTGCAAAAATTGATAGTCAAAAGCGACTTTTTTATCACCCGCCGATGAATGATTTTGCAAAAAAATGTCACTAAATCCAAATCCCCAGAATGAGTGTTGAAATTTCTCAAATTGACCATGTTTTTCTTGCCATTTATATGCGATTTTTTGCATCAAAATTGTGGATTAAAAATTTGTTATTTGAATTTAAACACTTTTTCGTTCCGTAACCGAATCGATAACAACTCGAATACACCAGCAATTTCATGTTCTCAAGCTTCTAAGCTCCCCGATTACATTTAACAATGAAACAACCCATTTTTTCCAGTTGACTATCGCTAACAATTAAGCGAATTGTACATAAATGTATCCAAGTCACGTATTTCCAAGCAAGTATTTACAATTAGCCCGTAATTCCTGGAAGTTTATTTTTACTTTTCCGGGTTTCATCCCAAATTATCCAATGACTGCTTTTCCTCATAAGGCTGTTTATGTTAAGGAAGCCATTCGATTTCTCTCAGCTTTTTAAATTGCTCTTCGATAAATAAATACTCAAAGTGTTTCTTTTCTGTGTTTTCCAACGAAAAGCACATTTTTTACACGTTTTTCAACGTTTCTTTTAGTGGTAGGTAAACCGCAAGGGTTTTCACATATGAGCATTCTTAAAATATTTTAGTTTTTTAACATTAAATTCCAGCTAATTCTGGGGAAAAATAAGTTGATGTTTTTCTGCAAAAACTGTAAAAACATTGGTAAGCAATGCTCAGAGGAGTGTAATTAAATGCGTTTTTCCCAAAGGCGCAAAGCCGCCCTGAAAGGTTCTACAGCCCTTTTGGATAGTCGGACTCATCAGAAACTATTCGGCGTTTAGAGAGTTTAAAGCTAAAGTTTCCTCACTCCGTTTTGCATAGGTTACATATTCCGATTCTTTGCCACAAAAAAAAATGTATAAAAATTACTGAAACTGGTGATTCTTAACACACATATCCAAGCACTGAAAAACCTCCAACTATCCAAAAAAGGCTGGACACTCATAAAACCATGCTTAGGCTCCATCAAAGCCTTCAAATCTTATTCAGCCAACCAAGGAATGAACTCCGTGCAGTATCTTACCGGAAAGTTATCGGAGTTTTTCAACACGGTGAACCGAATCGGTAACACTTAAAACTGCAAAATCCAGACATTCATAACCCAAGCCCACATACTGGTTGCCCCTTCCTATGGGAGCAATTCTTAAATTTAGATTTTGGCACCGGGACGCCTCGCGTCTCGACGCTAAACGATTGGAACGAAAGCAGCACGTTTCCCATAATTTACACGCCTCTGAAGAACTAATTTTGGAGCTTAAACAGACAGTATGAAGACAAATCTGTCCAGCCTTGTCTCCACCCTGCGGGCTCCTCTTATAACTCCTTTCGCAACCTTATATTCACTCGAATTTTAGTTATAGTTAGGAAGGATGCTTCTCGGTAAATTGAGACACCAATTAATATCTCTATAGCTTTACTTTAATAAATCTTCGATTTTAATCAATAATATATTTTGGTGATTGCCTCTTAAAGTTTGTTTGATTTTTTCATTTCATTGGTAACGTGCTCCCAGGCGTTCACGCTGGCCTCATAGTAGTTGATCTGTTTCCCGACAAAATCCAACAGGATCTTCTTCAGGCATTGGCGCTTCTCTTCTTGCCAACACTCGAGATCGCTTCGCAGAAACTCGTTGGCCATCTCCAAGCTGTCTTGTGAAGTTTCCACCATTTTCAATAACTGCGGAATACAGCTGCCTAATTTCTCCAATTTATCATCATAGCTTGGCTGTCTCCATAAACCAAAGCCTCCGCCGCTGTGCGGCGACCGATCTTGGGACAAAGCAACTAACTAAAAAAACTATTATTTTGTAATCGAACTGCGGGTTATTATGATTATTACCTTATCCTTTTCGCTGTGCCTCTTATGCAGCTCCTCCAGAGATGTTTCATAGTCGCACTGAAATGCCTCGCGTTTCCGCAGAACCTCCTGAACCACATCAATATATTGCAGAAATTCCTTAATCGGCGCTCCCATGCTGTTGTTGTAGCTGTGAACTAAGGCACTCTGAGCCGCGGAGCTTCGTTCAAGGGCGTTTCCGATGTTTTCCAACGTCGAGCAAATCTGAGGCTCAGAAGCAGACCATCGAATGAATATCGGGTGAAAGTTATTGATTTCTGAAATCAGATCACTTCGGTCTTTGTTTATTCTACCCGATATCTTCTCTAGGGAGGACAGCTTTTCGGTGAGCATTGCCAGGTAGGTCTTCACTCTGTCAAACTCTACATGGCGATTTCTCAGAACGGTATGGCTAGAACTGGGATGATTAAGAGTTGCTATCGTACCATTACAACTTGATATGGAATTTTTATTTTTTCTGTGATGAGAAAATTCCTTAAAAACGGTTTTCCAGTGACGAAATGCGGCATAGAGTATTGCTGTTATACTTACAAGTCGGGTGGACGTTAGGAATATCTTCAGGTTATCGTTGCAACTGAGAATTGGGTGCTTGCAAATGCGGTTTATAAATACATTAAGCGATTTCATTCTTGATAGAATGAACTCTTTGGAATATCGGTCTAGCTGGCCTATTAAGGAGTGTTTCGCAGGTAATGGCTGGAACACAAGCATGAGTTGCTGATAAAGGGTTGATTCTGCAAAAGCATAGTTACCGGGACAATGCAAAAATTGTGGCATTCCATCAGCTTTTGCCTCAACCATAAAAAGTCATTATATCGTCGCCGTACGATATACTCGTGGTCTGAAAACTCTATTCTAGCTACCCGTGTAGTGATGCGGAATGTAATGTAAGTCTCCATAGTCTCCACATGCTTTTCAGGATTATCAATTTTCACACACAAATCGGAATTTTCATCCATAGTCAACTCCGACAGGTTTTCGATATCGTGAATACTGGAAAAGCTCTCTAAACTGGGCGATTGTACCTGCAAAACAATCGTGTTATTGCAAGCAATTAACAACTAAACGCAAAAAACTGTACTAATGAATTGTCCCTATCAAAGGTTGTTCCGCTACAAATACTGGAATGGTCAAGGTCTTTGGAATTGTCCTGCATCAAAATGGACGATATTGCTTTCGATTCAGACACGACATTCAACACTGCTGAATTTTTGCTTTCCATTTTAATCCTAATTTTTTTTAAAGCTGCAGTTTTTATTGACTATTTGACCCAATTTTTTAGGTTAGTCGTCAGAGTCATTGATGAACACAAGTCAAAGTTTGACAGTCCAAGTCCCAGCTGTTGTGGATGCCATTCACAAACACGCCCTAATAACGCGAGCACAAAAAAATTAAAGAGTTTTTATTGAAAAAAAATACACTAATGGGAAAAGAGAATATTTATAAGGTTTCAAAAAATGGATTGTGAAAAATTAATGAAAACCCTCGGCCCAATGATCTACTGTCTCAGTTGCACTCACAAGTGTAGAGGAAAAAGTGACGATACATTGGAGCGGAACAGACCCCATTCCCCGTCAAAGTCCCTTCAAATAAATGCGGTTATGCTGATGTCAATAACAACAACAAACATTCTTGCATGAAATCCCCAAGATGGTTAAGCCTGGGGCCCTCCAAACTAACACCCGCTTATAATGGTGAATTCTAAACTATGCGTTTGTTACGTGGAAGGAAGTTATGCTCCACATTCACTAGCTTTTTGCTCTTAATCATTTCAGTGTTGTTCTGCAGCACAGTTTTCCTCAGCTACAAAGTGCTTACCAGTGGTAAGACCGCTTCCAGTTCGCATTAGCACCGTGAGTAAACTGTGGTGTTGATTTCAGAGCAATGCCGTAGCGAAAGAAGCGAAATTTTGCGCTATGAAACCACCAACCCCAAGCACAAACCCATACTATCCAAACATAAACTAGCACTGCTGGTGCCGTTTAGAAACAGGCTGGAAGAGCTCATGGTATTCGCCCCGTATATTCACGACTTTCTCAAAGAACAAGGAGTGAACCATCAGATTTTTGTGCTAAATCAGGTGGACTCTTACAGGTTTAATAGAGCTTCTTTGATCAATGTGGGGTATCTCTACACGAAAAATGAGTACGATTACATTGCAATGCACGATGTAGATCTGTTGCCTCTGAACAAGGCGCTTATGTACTCCTACCCCAGTCAGCCCCATCATTTAGCAGCCCCACACTTACACCCGAGGTATCACTATGCAAAGTTCATTGGGGGCATTCTGTTGATTAATCGGTAATGAGAACTAGCTGAGCGGCTGCGACGATACTGAGTCCAACTCGGGGTTTTAGGGAACAGTTTGCTTTGGTTGACGGCCTTTCGAACCGATACTGGGGCTGGGGATTGGAAGACGACGAATTTTACGTGCGACTCCGAGATGCTCAGCTAAACGTAACCAGGCCTGAGAATATTCTCACGAACAGAACAAACACGTTCAGGTAACCGGATGGAATGTGGCAAGAATTCAGGCAGTAGGTGGACTTTGATTGCAGGCATATACATGACAAGTCGCGGAAAAGGGACACAGTCAAATGCGATAGGCAGAAAGAGGTGACCCGGCGGAGGGACCGCGAAACTGGTTTGCACGATGTCAAGTACAAAATATCCAGTCATAACGAGTTAGTCATCAATGGGGCCCCAGTGATTTTGATCAATATAAGACTGATGTGCAATACCAACCAAACGCCTTGGTGTGACTGCGAAGGCAAGCCGTAGAGTGGATGCATGGGAAATTAGCTAACTTATTAACAAGGGAAACTTTAGTAGTAATCATGAAAGGCGCCAGAAGTGAAGTTGTAGATCAAGTGCTTTTTGGGCGTGTGATTGTATTAATAAACTATTTGCTCGTTGTTTTTTAAAGCGTTTCTAAAGTAAAGCAAGAGTAATTACCTGTTATCATCCTGCCTGTTAACGAGTTTTAATAGAAAAGCTGGATTTGCGGTAAAAACGCCACTTCTTGACAGTATTTTGAAGGCGCCAGTCACTAGGGTTTCTGGAAGTTCCTAGGCAACTATCTGGACGTATGTGCATCTCTTACAGGTTTTGCGTTTTCGTTACTTTATGCACAACTTGTTGGGCAATTGTTGTTCGCAGTAATTTTCCTTAAATTGATTAATTTTTATGAAGGCTTCAGAATGCGTGTTATTCCAATTGCCGATTTAATTTAGGAGAATACTGTTTTTCCTTATTGGGGGAAAATCTGGGGAAATCCCCTTTGGGGGCAAATGTTTTTTTGTGTTGGTATGGGGTAATGTCGCACGTGCATCATTTGTTAAATGGCGCAAGCGTCCAAATTCCAATCAATGTCATATAAAGTCGGTGTCTTTTTAGGCAACGATTAAAGTTGATCCAAAGTGTTCAACTGAAAACATGTTATTGCGTTTTGACCGAATTTCCAATAAAATTCAATGCCAAGTGTTGTGCTGCAATCGAAAAAACACTAGAAATAACTGTTTACCCTCTTGATCAAGTGTGAAGTTAGTGATTTTAATTAGTAAATTTAAAGAAAAGTTTTAGTTTTTGTCGCAAATATGCCGAAAGGAAAGAAAAAAGGAAGGACTGGTAAGTTGGGGTCTTTCCATCAGGGACCCCTCCAACGCCCTGATCATTTCACAGCTGAAACTTCAAGGATTTCAGTTCAGCTCATAGTCACTGTTCAAAGCTATTTTGGCACTTTGCCTCAACCCAAATTCCACATGACGCATCATAATTCATATTTGCCGTAATCACAAGTTGCAGACAGTGTTTGACAACAATCACCAATTGCCAAAGTTGGGCAAATCTCCCAAATGGACTGTCCATATGCTCTGTTGCATAACATTGCGAAAGTAAAAGCAACGCCAAAGGGGATAAACTTGTACTGTTGTTGTGTACTTGTACTAAAATGTAAAACAAACAGGGGCTTAAAACTAACTATATGCTTCTTTAGTTGGTTACAAATCAGCACTTTTACACACAGCACAGTTAAAACTGCACCACACTGAACAAAGGGTGGAAATTGGCATCAAAAACTGTTTATCCATTGTAGTCATAATTATGACGCCTGGTCACGTACCAAGCAAGCGATAAATTGAATAAATTGCTTTGGTCAAAAAGCACAGCCTCTTGTTGCCTATAAAATGTGCCAATTTCAGATCGAAACAGAGGCGAAGGCTCGCTTCAAACATCGGATGATGATTCGTACCCGAACGACAATTTGAGCGTTGCGAGCAACGTCTCCGAGCACTTCAGCGTTGAAGATACAAACGAAGTGGACGATTTCGCCCAAGATCAGCTCGAGGAGAAGCTGGCTGAACTCATTGATGGGCTGGCGCAGAAGTCTTCGCAAGGCCGCACCAATTGCTTCAAAAATCTCACGGCTGCTCTAGTGAAGAAATATATGCCGCTCTTCATCAGGGAGAGGTACGTGGGCATCTAGAAATCTCCTTTGAGTTTAACACTGGCGCTTAATCTAGGACCTTCACTTTGTGCGACTGCATAGAGCGCAGCGTGAAAAAGGGCGGGCCTGAGGAAAAAGGGGCTGCCGCCGATCTGGCCACTGTGATGTGTGTGCAGTTGGGAACTGATCCAATAGGAGAAAATATCTATGCGGCTTTAAAGCCAATCCTCTTGGCCACTGCTTTGGATAATTCCGCCGCTCCCAATGTTAGGGCGCAGGTAAGGCGAAGCTCACTTTAAAGCTGAACGGTTTGCCCCAATTCTTTCATGCAGTGTTGTCTGGCTTTGGGCAACATGACCTTCCTATCCAGCAGCGACTTAGGAGAAAACCTCCTCCTGATGCGCCAGTTGGAGACGATATTCTCCGGTAGTTACCTGAAAGGGGACGGATCTGTCCCCAATACATCGCCCGAAAATGGGGCAATGCATGCTGCCGCTTTGAACGCCTGGTCTTTGCTCTTCACCCTGATGGTCCCTGGAAACATCGGCACCATGATAAATAACTCCAAAAGCCTGCCGTGAGTTTCCCCGCTTTTCTCCAGTAATTTTCCTCACCAAGTCCTCATTTCCAGAGATTTGAGCCGCTTATCGGAGCTTCTAGAGTCCGCGCACTTGGAGGTGAGGTTGGCCGCTGGCGAAGCCCTGGCCCTGATCTATGAAATCGGCCGCGAAGAGAGTGATGAGTTTGAAGACGAATTCGCCGACTCTCTGATCGGCATTTTGAAGCAACTGGCCACAGACTCTCACAAGTATCGCGCGAAAAAGGAGCGGAAGCAACAACGGGCCACTTTCAGGGACATTCTGTTGTACATTGAGGTATGGAACCTGGCACTGAAGGCTTCCAGGCGCTTAAGTAGAATGCGGGTTTTTAGGACATCGTCACGACTGATGTTCAGGTGAAGTTTGGAAAAGAGGTGCTGCTGCTGGACACGTGGGTCAAACGCAAGCAATACGAGGCGCTGTGCAATTTTTTGGGGCCCAGCATCAACAACCATCTAGTGGAAAACGACGTTATCAAGGATCTTTTCCAGATTGAGGCCTCAGTCGATGAGTTGAGAGTGCCGGCTCATGCCCAACACCAAATGGAGAAAAATAGGAAGGTAAACCGAAAAAAACACATTAATTGCGTAATTGCTACTAATCACTTGCGCTTTAGAGGATCTTAAACGCTGCCAACGATAAAGCCAGAACCTTGTCGAGAGCCAAGAACAGGGACAAGCGATCGGACTTCTAACTTCGGCAAACGTTCAATGGAAATTATGCTTTAGTACAAGTTTACCAAGAGCCTGCGAAGGCTCGTAACCCTCATTAAATACCTTTGGTGATTTAGTTCGCTTTACTAACTTTATTCGAGTATGTGCTCAGTTTTTTAATTATGAGAAACTGTTTGTAAATGTTGAAGATAGGTGCACAAATTGATCAAAGAACTAAACCAATGGTTTGTTTCATTATATGAATGTTGTCTATTACACACCCAATATGCCATTATTAATTATTACAGTGTTGTGTATATCTTTTTGAATAAAAAATCAGCGCCCATTGAAGTCTGTTCTTTCCTGTCGTAAATATACAGTTATGAATTTTTACACGCCCTGCTTTAAAAACATGCAACTTTCAATCCAAACCAAGCGGCAACTTGAAATTTCTACCATCCATAGAAAACATTTCAATCTAAACGTGCTGAAATTTCCAGTTAAATCGAGTGATATGCCGATGCTCAGAAGATCATCTTTTATTGAGTTATGTTGCCAGCAATTCCAAACGTTATGCGTATATTAAGGCCTTTATTTGTCTAAAAACCCAATACATAGATTAAAATCCCGTGCTTCGTTTATTAACTACTACATAAATCACTACTGAATAAATGTATTGTTAAAAATCAGAGCGGCTACAATTAACTGTTAGACGATTTGGCGAATGTAAAGATTTAAGGTAAGAGGCAAGTAGCCTAATTATACAGTTGCTAAAAGCCTAACGCACATCTAGATTATTCATTAACAGCAAGAGAACATTATAAAAACTCCTACAGCCAACTGCTAAATTCACAGCACAGTTTTAAAGAATTAAACAAGTCAATTGATAGCAATTTATCAAGTTCGCACAATAACAAACACAATATAGAAACAATTGTTCAATGTAAAAAGTACTAGACACATAAACAATGAAATAACCGGGCAATCAAGGAGGGAAGCAGCAACTATTGAACTGTACACTAAGATCGGAAATATTAATAAATAACAAAACATTTGCTAGTTATACGGTTATGTAACCAGTTGCTTGTGAGATCACAGTAGTTTAAATACCCCCCAAAAATCGGTTCAGTACATGCAATTTCAACCATCAGCAAATTATGGTTATTCTGGTTTTACTGTAGCTATCGATGTTTAGTGCGTAAATTGCTCTAGACATTTATGAAGAAATTTGTTCAAAAAAGTGTTTTGTCTGATAAATTCCACACACCGGTATAATAACGCAAATGTCTGCTTTTGATTGGGGATTGGAAATTTATGTACCTTGATTAGTTAACATTAAGTTCAGGATCTTAGTTCGAGGAAGCGGCCTTAGGTTTCGTGTCCTTGCCGGCCTCTGGCTTCAGATCTCCCCAATCTGATAGATCGTACTTTGACAAATCCCCATCATCATCCTCATCCTCCTCTTCATCGTCCTCCTCAACTTGGCGCTCCTCATCCTTTTCCTTATCACCGTCCTTACTGCTGTTGCTGGTCGCGTAACTGCTGCCTCTCCTCTTCCTTCGTCGACCGAACTCATCAAACTCATCGTCGGACGCTTCGCGTTCTTTATACTCCACTATCCCCCGGTCGTTGTATCCTCCACCAAATCCAGTTCGTTCCTCAACTTCTCCGAATTTCGGGGCATTGCAAACGTTGCACTGTTGGCGACGAGCCCAGTTCACATTGCCGCATTTGTTACACTGCCAGTCGTCGGCACTGAAAAGCCCTCGGCTTTTCTCAGCGGCCGCTTTGCCGATTTCGGTGCCCAGCTTTCGTTTCCGAGCCGCACTTGGGGCTTTGCCCTTCTGGCATCTGTTGCACGTGCTTCGTCTGGCAAAGTTGAGGTTACCACACTCTTCGCAGTTCCAGTCGCCATCGTCTGACGATGACGATTTGGTTGATGAACTGATCTCGGCCATAGTGCTGCAAGAAAATCAGCCATGAGACCAATCCCGAATCAACAAACTTAAATACATAATTAGGCTTGGGTTGTGCGGCTGTTGTCCAAGCCATTGTGATTGATTTCAAAAGTACAAATATAACTGATACTTCCTTTAAGAGCACTTTATACCTTTACTAACCCAAAGCGAGGACTATTTTTTTATTAATCACAAACAAGAACAAACACAACACTGACTTGTTAACAAAACAGGGACAATAATCGGTTTGTCATCTGTCAGTGTCTTTCGCAATATGTCAAAAGTCAGGCATGAGCACTAGTTGCCAAGCTTTTCGGTAGTTTAATAGAGGAGTTTTTGCCGTTTTCGCACAGAAGATTTGCTTTGGCCAGCGTGAAACTAACCTGTTTGGTTTAACATAGAATTTCGTTGATTTATAGCGGTCATTCTAGATTCTAGTTGGTAAAAAGACCGATTTATTGTTAATAAAACAAGACTGCGTCATGTCGAAAGCACATCCCCCAGAGCTGAAAAAGTGAGTTAATCTCTTCCACCATTAAAACTCATTTTTGTGGTTGTCTCCCAACTGGTAACTCATGGAGGCCCCATTTCTTGCAGATTCATGGACAAGAAGTTGTGCCTGAAGTTAAACGGTGGCCGACAAGTAACCGGGATCTTGCGGGGCTTTGACCCCTTCATGAACCTCGTGGTGGACGAAAGTATAGAGGAGTGCAGGGATGGGACTAAAAACAACATAGGAATGGTGGTAAGCAGCTTTCCATTAATGTCACCACGATCCAAAAGTCCTGGTTTTGACAGATCTATCCTTGGATTATTATTTAGTGTTTGAGTCTGCAATAAGGAAATTTTTTTACATTTTTGTTTGCCTCGAACTATATCTGCATTACCACCGCAAGGGGTGCAACGAGCCCATAGAAAAACTCGTTAAACCCTTCAGGTTTGAAAAGGCGCACTTTTAAACCCATTTTGGGCCAGTTTTTGCTATTTAACCCCCGATAACAACTACTATGTTATTGACTCAAACGCTCATGTAAACAATTGATACCCGGTGATAAAATTCCTGCAAAATCCCTTTGCATCTTTGTTTAAAAAATCCCATTTTCTTTGGTCCAGATCCATCAGCCACTATCCAACAAACTTCCTTCTTTTCACTTTGGTTCATTTTTTCGTCTGGTTAACACGCATTTTTTCCTCCAGGTCATTCGAGGGAACAGCATCGTTATGTTAGAGGCATTAGATAGGATATAGTTTAATGATTTAGGTATGAATGTGTTTGGATAGGAAATAAATGTGTGCTTTTCGTCACTTTTCTTCTATTAGCAGCCCCATTTCATCTAGTTTTGTCCGTAAATCCTGCGAGTCCTCACGGAGTATTCACTAATTGAACTTGAGTGTTTAATTGTTATATTTTAGTGCAAATTTTATTACATTGTGCTACCGGTATAATATTGTTCACACTTAAACAAGAATCAACAGTTAATACATATTTGTATTACATATAACATTTAACGTCCATCAGGCGCAAGTTGTTTAATATTTGGGCTTAAACAAGTCGCGTCCAGGAATAAGCACTCGCTATAAGGGAACCATATAATACTGACTAAAATACTGGATTATCTATTAAAGCCATCATTGTTGGGTTTACTAGGACAGTAAGTTAAAGAAGTACATACCGGACAACCGCTCACTAAGCAAAATGCTGAAAACAACATTTTAAAAGTGATTTCTAAAAAATCCTACTGGTTAAAGGCGTTCAAATGCCTATTTTTAAAATTAACTTAGTTTAAATATCACAAAGCAAAGGTGGAATCGCCTAGAGAAGGCGTCAAATTAAACATAATAGTCTTGTTTCCGATGGCCTATTAATACTTTAAGGCTTCGTTATTGTCTTGTTACATTTAATATTAAAAAGCTATATTTTCACTAGTCACCTGCAAGCCTAGTGAATTCTCTGGGAAAGTGTTACAGTTTCCAGTGAAAATACATTTCCAATCACCTAAAATTATGGACAAAATGTACGATTGCATTATCCGGAAGTCATTCATAATAAATATACAACGAGAAAGTGTAAACGTTGAAAAAAAACGGAAGGTTTCGTTGTACGTGGTAAATCATTGGAATGCAGCGATAACTTAAAAGAATTTTCAATGTTCTCTGCTGTTTACTAAGCTGTACATTCGACAGAGAATTTTTACGTGATATGAAGACTGATTCATCGTTTAAAAACACTCTCTGAACACTACAACGTAACATCATTAGCTTTTCCAAGTCGTCCAAACGGTTAAATCTAACATCTAAGTATCCCTAACTAGGTTTGCTACGATATTTTTTTTAAATTACTTTTCTATGTGGAATGTTCGCGAACAACTGAACTGGATTGTGCATTTACACAGTTGTTCACGAATGTCCCGGCAAGTTTCGATGTTCCTCAAGGACTTCCAAGTCCCATTGTACCCTTAGCGGCATAATCTACACATTTTTCCCAACTAACTTTATTTATTGACACTGAAACCGAAGTTGCCGTAGATTAATTGAACTGTGCAGAAATTGCAACCCTGAAAAATGGAGGCGTCTCAGACTCCGCACCTTATTGGAGCAGAAGCGAACTGACTAACTTATATGATTCCCTATTTTGTAGGATTGCAAATCCTTGGCGTTTTGTTGTAAATATTCCAGGAATATTGATTGATAGTATAAGTAATTGAACATAAATTGACAACGACGATTATTATTGCTAAAGGGTCGGGTTCTACTCTAGGGACCACACCAGTAGGTATATAACATCGATTCACCTGGGAAATGTTACAATGTACAGCTGGATCTTGTGGCTCAAGCGCTCAGACCAATTTGCTAATGATTGAAAATGATCCAGTCATTTGAATGAAATTTGCTTCTCAAAGCGTTGGCAATGGGAATTTGAATACACGGCGCTGTTTGCGTGTACGTCTATAGTTTTATGCAACGAGCTGACCCAGTAATCGCAGTAGAAGCAACATGAAACAAACATTAAACTACCTTAATAATCAGTGGCGCATTCGGGCGGGTTCATGTAGCCGAAGATGTTCAGCTCGTACAAGCTGGCGAATGTTATGAACAGCAAATACCAAATCATCAGCACGATTCCGAACTTTCGGTCCAATTTCCAGCCGTTGTAATGGACAGCTATGACCAAGAAGGCCACTGTGGATAGAAGCGACAGCGTCGAGTAGGTCAATCCTGCAACAATCCCACAATGATTATGTTCTGTAGAAAAAATACAGTCTTCTGTTATCTATGAAATTAGAAAAATGATCGTCGTTTTGTGCAAGGGTGGCGCAAAATGAGCAAGAACGCTCATTTGTACATCATTCTAGACAGAAATAAATGGCCTTTTTAGAAAGGGAACGATGGATGGGGAAATGTTGGATCCGCCCTTGCAATGATTAGCTTGTTGGTTGCTGATGGTTCAAGTACCTTTGCTGATGACCTTTACGTGGCTCCCAGGCTGGACCATGGCAGTTTTTATGAACCACGGAAGCCCCAAACAGACGAGAATGTCGAAGACGTTCGATCCAATGGCGTTGGAGACTGCCATGTCTCCATAACTGGAAAGGTGGTTGTTGGTTAAGACGGGATTAATTGACTGGTTGTTGTGCGTTTACCCTTCTTTGATTACGGCTATACTGGATAGGGCATCTGGAACCGAAACTCCAGCCGCGACGAAAGTCAGGCCCATTACAGTGTCCGGCACCCCCAAGGTGTACCCTGAAGCAGCAAGGAAATTAGCCAAGGCTCAACGCTGTAGCGCAGCTTACCGATGATGGTGATCATCCACACCATGAAATAGGAGTAAAAAGAGATCCAAACCATCGACACGAAAAACGTGAACGGGTACCAGTTTCTGAACTTTTCGCTCCGGCAGTCCGGCATGGTGTAGATGCAGAAGAAGTGAATCGGGTAGAGAACGGCCCATTTGGACTTCGCCCATATCCCAGCCTCAGCTGGTGCAAACCTCTCTTCAACTAAGTGCGCGCATTTACAAAGGACATACCTGCGGGTTTGGCCAGCGGGTTGATTTTCGTGCTGGGATCGTACTCTTTGGGCCGATAGTAATCCTGCTGAATCGGCAGCGGCGGGCCGACTTGCTGAGGAGCCGCAGCCTCTGAAGTGACTTGGTTCAAAGCCGCCCCACTCAGGGGCTCTTCATGGAAGGCTGCAATCAGAACTAGGGGATGATGCAACTCAACGTGGATGATCCGGGAAGTTACTGGGGTTGCGATGTTCCGGGCTCCATTCGTTCCCAGGACTCCACTGGGCCTCCTCCGGCTCGACGGAGTTGCTCTCCATGCCGTAGTTCGTGTGCTTCGCTTTGCCATCGTTTTCCAGGTTTTTGTAGCTCACCAATCCCGACTGTTCAGTGGGCGCGACTTTCTTGAAAGGCACTGGAAGCGTTTGCGACCAGCGTTCCAGCGCCGGGTTGAAGTGCAGCACGATGCAGTAGACGCCGTAGACCAACAGCATCACCGTTGACTCGATCCTGCGGATTATTTGCCGGTTGATTTAAGCGGGCAGGAGGCTTGATCGGTTTGGAAATCACCAATTCACGTCCTCGTCCACTATGACCACCAGCATTATGATGATGGAGAGGGCGTAGAAGGTGGAGTCTCGGACTAGAGGCCACCAGTTGAGGTAGACCATGGTCCCAGTGGCTAGAGCGCACACCGATATTACGAACATTATGTTGAACACTGCCGATCCAATCACTCCGGAGATGCCTGGAAGGGGCACAGTGAGGGCAAAGTTGGGGGGGTTGATTGGACCTACCAATATCATCTTCTGCGTAGAAGACGCCGATGATGACCGTTGCCAGTTCAGGGGCGGAACTGCCCGCGGCCATGAAGGTGGCGCCAGCCACATCCGGAGACATCTTCAGCTCTAAACAGCAGACGAAATGCAACTTGAGGAGGAGATTTGCGTGGGGAAACTACCTTCACATATGCGGTCCAGCGAAGCCACGAAATACTCGTCGCATACCACAGCTAGCCCTATAAACATGTATATAGCCACGATAATGTGGATGATCAACCCTCCATGGCGGCGAGCATATTGCGAAATTCCTGGCCGGGGAAACTGAAAAGGGCACATTAATACTGTGAGTTTTTAACTTTAACGGAAATGAGGCTGAGCTTTGCAGCCCTCAAATCTAATCGGCGGCGATAGCGGAGTCGATAAGTCTGACCTAGATTGAAGAGAGCCTCCTAAGTTGGCTCCAAATGGGACTGCGCTCATCTCAAAGTGTACCTGCCAAGCATGGGGGCAAAATCAAGTTTTTCCAGAACCTCACCTGCCGAATTGCCGCTGGAGTGCACTGGTGCACGGGACTCTCAGTCTCGGTCACATTGATGTCTTTTATCTGAAACAACGCGATTTTTTTGAACCCCCACACACTTCCTTAGAATCTTGAATGGCGACAAAATACCTTTTCCGATATTTCCTCTGCGGCAGTTGCGGTTAAAACCGCCCCATGTTCGGCCTTGGAAGGCTCTGGGGGTTTTTCCGAGAAGAAATCGTCGACCTCCTTGCCGATGGAATGAATATTCACCATGGACGCGTGTGTTTTCGACACGTTCTGTTTTATGCCCAAAACATGTGAATTTTTCAAAAGGGCCAAACGTTCAGAAAGTGGTTTACCTTGGGGGCGACTTTTTCTGAAGCGGCGGTTGACGATTCGAGTGTGGTGGCGGCTGGAAGAGCGGTGGAATCGGGCGGTTTAAGGTCGGCATTTTTTTTCTCCGATCGCACCGATGCGATATGAATGACGGAATAAACTAGAAAAAACACGGATATTCTCAGGAACTTGTGCCGTCCAGTTCTTCGCATGTTCTGCAAGAAAATAGATCATTTTTAGTTCGGCTGGCGAATAGAGAACAATGTGTGGTTTATTCGAAATAGTGTCTAGAATATGTAGAAGTGTGTAGAATGTGTCTAATCTAGAATGTGTAGCGACTTGAAATCTTCACAGCATGTAGAAGATAGTTCAGTCTAAAGACCCTAAATATTCTATTGAAATT